ATCTGAAGTAAAGCCCAACTCTACCCTGACATACATTTTGACTCCTACAGCCTCCTGAATAAATACTAAGAATTTTTGAGTCCCATGTACCAAAGACCTGCAAGAGGGGGTGGTCATCACCATGCCAGCCCTTCATGCTCCTCCAGCCTGGCACTATACGTTCATGTCATCTAGTTATTTTGTTCTCTGTGCTTCCTGATTACCTCTACCAAAATCTTGATGATGACATCAACTGCATGGAATTCACTGGCACCTTGCTTAGTTCTTTCTTTTTCTCCCCAATTCTGCCATCTTTCTAGATGATATTCTTGCCATCTATCTACCTTAGACTTCAACATGCCAATGATTCTACTTTTACCAAATCACTCACGACCTAGCTATTAAACATATAGGCACTTCTTAGTCGTTAACTCTCTGATCCAGTTGCGCGTTTCTTCCTTTGCAAGTTTCTTGCCCTGATTTCCCTAGTACTGCGCCTATTAGGCCTTCTAATAGGGATGTCCTGGATGTTCCTTCACCTCCTCCATGATCTTTGTTCTACAAGTCTTGCTAACCCTTCAAAGTCCTCTTGTCAGATTGCTTTGTACTTGTCTGTGTATGACCTGATTCACGCTCATGGTTTCCAAATACTATCAGTCTGCTGATGCCTCCAAATATCTCTTTCCAGCCATGTTTCTGCTCTGAATCCCACTTACGTGACTGTTAGTGAACATTTCTGTCTGCATATCCTTTCAACACTTCAATTTGTATTTAAATGGAACTCACTATTTACCATCTCAGTTCTGTATTTTTATTAGTTTTTATTGATTCATATATAATGATTAGCATTGCTATAAACTCTCAAAGTCATTATTCTTATCACCATTTTTATAAACTTTTTTTGAAGTGTAAGATACATGCAGAAAATTTCACAAGTCCTAAGTGTATAGTTTGATGAATCATAACTCCATTCCTTGAGTTTCCCTTCCACCAACTAAATTTGTGAAGCTGCACATCCACTCTGAGATGGGGTTTTGAGATGTTTTGCAACATGATGATTTGTAACCTGTGGATTTAATGTTTGCTTTATGTTTTCTCTATAACTAAATGCTTTCTGCAAGTCATACTAACAGAATGTGAAATGAGGTTGGGCACAACTCCACTTAATCTGGTGAACTTCAGCCCTCTATTAGAGAGCTCTGTTACTTTGAACTTGAAGAATGATGTCTATTCTTCATCCTGCTGTGCTCATTTCCATCTTGGCCCAGTATGTCTGCCATATATTTACTCCCTTGTGTATAATACAAGAATATACAGAAAGGCTTTCAATAAAACCTTTAGTAAGACATGATTTAGCAATTTGTAAAACAAATCCCTGTGTAATCTACCTGTGTCAAGAAATAGAACATTTCCTAACATTCTCAAAACTTTCCTAATTGTAGCCTCTCCTTCCCCCTAGAGGGAAATCAAAAACTCTCTGGTGTTTTAATAGTATTAATAGCTATTTTTTTGTATTAATAGCTATTTAATAGTATTGTTTCTTTTCTTTATAGTTCTTTTCTTTATAGTTTCTTTTCTTTATAGTTCTTTATAGTTTCTTTTCTTTATAGCTTAAACTTGCTTAATTTCATCTTTGAACATTTCTGTATAAATTACAAATACAGTTTGTGTCTCTTTTCATTCAGCATTAAGACTTTAGGATTCCCCTTCTATGTGTCACACACATTTCCCCCCAGCCCCGACACACACTATTTCTCACGGCAGAACATTTCATAGAATGACTATACTGTAATTTATTATTGACTCCACTCTTGATAGGCATTTAGGTTGTTTCCAGTTTGGAACTATTTTTCAATACTGCTATGAGCACCCTTAAATATGTATATGGTGCACACAGCATATGTTTTATGGGGACATATACCTTGGAGGGGAATTGCTGGGTCGTTAAATTGCACATGTTCTCTGTTTTACTAGATGATGTGAATCTGCTTTCCATAGCAATGTCCAATTTGCTCATTATTTCAGGGTTCTTTCTGTTCCACATCCTCGTAACCTTGGCATTGGCACTCCATGAACGTGTAGTGGTGCCTCAGTGTAGTTTCAACGTACATTCCCCTGCTAACTAATGAGGCTGAGCACCTTTCCACCTGTGTCTGTTTGGGTTTCTTTTTTTATGGGGTACCTGCTCCAATCTGCTAATTTTTTGTTATGTTCTCTGTTTTTGTTTTGTTTTTGATTTATGGGTTTGGAGGAACTCCCAATATATCCTGGGTATCATATCATAACCCCTTGGGTTATGAGCAAAATGTCATCCCTACATTGAAATATTTTTTTCTTTCTTTATACTTTAATGAACAGAAGTTCTAATTTCAACATTGTCACCTTTCTCAAATTTCTTTTTAATGGTCAGGGCTTTGGTATCCTTTTAGAAATCTTTTCTTATTGAGAATTCATAAAGATATTCTTCCATATTATCTGTGGAAGTCTTATTGTTTTGGCTTTTCCTATTTGGCTATGATCTACCTGGAAGTGAGTTTTGTATACAAAGCAATGTAAAAGTATACAGATTTTTAAAGGATTCTTCTATCTTTTGGTGAAATTGAGCTTCTGTAGCCTTGCATCTATATACCCTAAATTCAAAATTAATTTAGGTGGAAGCTTTGTCAAATACCTAAAGAGAGGAGTGATCTATCTGGTCTTCAAAATATGAAAAAAAAATTTATCCATATAATGCAATTTATATACATAGCAATACTTGCATAAAAATAATAGTGATAATTATCTTTCAAGAACAGGAAAAGGCATTCCTTCCAAGTGGACAGATATGATGATAAAGGTGACAATTTTGAAAGAAGACAGGATATCTGAAGGTCTGGTTGTTGTCAGAAAAGGCAAAGTTCTAACATTTGGAAAGTTCTTTCTACTGATTGTCTTTCCTATCTAGAACAAGAGTCCTCTTCTGAAAATCTTACTAAAATGCATGGTCATGAGATATGGGTCTTGCTGATCTTATTCCTAGCTCTGTATTCTCTACATTTAGCACATTGCCTTGCATAGCAGAAACACTCAATAAATAATTGTTGACGGAATGAGCAAGTGGGTGAAAAACTCCTTCTAATATCATAGCACTAATGAGCACTGTCTTCATAAACCACCCACACAGTCTTAATGATAAAAATAATATTTTTACTGCATGCTTATTACTATGAACTAGGCAAGATGATACATAATTGCTATTTATCATCTTGCTTATGCCTTGAAACCACTTTACAAAATAGAAACCATTATTGCCCCCATTTTATAGATGAAGAAACCAAAAGCACAGAATTATTAACTTGCTTAAGTTACAGCTAGTAAGTGCAGGACTGGAATTTGAAACCGAATCAGAACACACAGTTTATACTTTTACTCTCTCCATTAAATTCCATAGTGATTGATCTAAACCTGGCCTCCCAGCCTCCAACATGAGCCAGTAATGTTAATAGCTAATGATATTGATTGTTGCCCTTGTGGCAGGTGCTACATAAAATTTGTTTTATCTCATTTAACCATCCCATAAAACCTACAGAGAAGATACCATCATTATCCCCATTTTATAAATAAGGAAGCAGAAGCTAAAATGTTTAAGTCATTTGGCCAAGATGGTACAGCAAGTAGGCAGAGTGTTCAGTATTTGACTTCTTATCTTCATGTAATCTGCCTCCTCTAAGACCCTCTATCCCTTGTCTCAGAAAATAACACCTCCAAAGGTGGAACCTGTCAGAGCTGTTGACCTTGAGGCTATCCTTTTCTGGTGGGAGATGCCAGCCTATGCCTCAAGGACAGCCCTGCCCCCATGGGGCAGCAGGAGGAGACAGCAATGTTGACACATAGAAACATCTAGACAAAAAGGGAGAACCTTGGTGGCTCTTTTACTCTTTCTCCAACTCTCCCTTTGCTATGAGAACTTTCCAATAAATACCCCCCTTCACTCTTTTATGTAGCCTGAGCAAGTTCAGCCTAGGTTTTCATCACTAGCAACCAAGACACGCTCAGCTAACACGGAAGGCTATGGTGCTCTCCCAAATGTGCTACCGTTTATGAAAACAGTTTCAAAGCAACTTTGGAATTTCACACAAACTGTATTTGCCGACTTCCCATTTGATGTATGAAAGAGGAAGACGACTTTTATAAAAATGCCCTCTGTGGGTTTATAAATGAACAACAAGTCTGGTCTTGTTTTATCAAATCCTACAACATCCTGTGTACATCTTTCCAAAGAAAGATCTCGGGGCTGGCCTGATCCATAGCCTTCTTTTAAGTTTGTTTGTCCTCTACATATTGATCTAACCTGTCAAAATGTGGATTTTGCAATGGAGCAGGTCATGAGGCCTGGACTCCCACGAACAGATATTATGGTTATATTTCTTCATAGAGCTTTGAGACTGGACTTCCTTCATAGGTCTCTGAATCTCAGTCGCCTTATCTACAAAAGGAAGGGATGGGCCCTTTTTAAATCTGAGCTTAGTGCATAAACCTGAGTCTAATGTGAGATCAAGAGGTGTTGTGGTCATTTGCTTCGTTGGTCCTGGTGTCGGCCTGGGTGAGACAACACCTAGCATTTTATAGTGTGGACATCTCTCCTCTGTAATTCACCTCTTCAACATCTGGTGTCACATTTCTCTGGACTGTTCTGCAGAATGCACCACCGCCCCATGGGATGCTCTTCAATAAATGACTCATTGATCAAAATCTACACGTTTTATCATCCTCAGGGATTCAAAATGCCCATTAGCAATTTAAAGGCATTGAGAAATTTTGTAGTAGAGAAACCTGTAACTTACTTTACCCTAAGATTCTTCAAAGTTATTTGGTCACAGAACTCTCTGCACAGACACACATTGACATGATGTTTGGGAACTGAAGGTTAACATCTTCCCTCTAGGTTTATATAGTCAAGTAGGTGTCCTGATGGCCTGGTGTGAGCATATGTGAAATGTAATAATGTTATCTTTAATGATGTCACTTCCTGGGTGGAGCTTTCTGTGCATTGAAAAGTCGTTTGGACTTGTTATGACTTGGTTTCATGACTAGATGCCTCAACTCTAAATGGCTATAAAGATTCCTTTCAACTGACCAGAAGAGGGAAGCAGAGGACCTGGGATGGTATCTGAGACCCCTGGTGGGGAATAAACACAAGATCAGGCTGCAGCAGCCTGTGAACTTGCCTTGAAAGGATCATCTCCCAAGCACAGAGATCCAGCCACATCTCAGCCACATTTTCTGCAGAACACAAGATCCCTTGTTGGCGGCCATCACCTCACACCTTTAAGTAGTTCCTTTAAGTCGTTCCATAGGAAACAGGTTTCCCTAAAGTGGAGGAGTGTGAGCCTTTGTCAAAAAGAGACTAATGGACACGACAGAGGCAATGAGGCACAGCCAGCGTAGGGACAGACCGGAGTCTCGCAACTCCAAGAGCTGAGCCTCCTCCTGGTTGTCTTGGCTCCTTCTAATCCCTGTGGGCACTGCTCAGCTGGACTCTAAGTGGAGCGGCCAAAGTGTTGGCCACAACCTGTCTTAAAATGGCAGAACTGTTAACACCAGAGTTGCTTGTCTCTGGTGACATGGGGTTCTTTGGGGATAGGATTGGATTTGGGCCCAGGTTCTACACACCAAATCCCTTCTTGCCAGAGCAATGTTCTCACCCAGGGGCCCCACAAGAGAGAAACCATGGTCACAGAACAGGGCCAGGTTCGTGCTTTTTTATATTCTTTTGACCTCAAGCATTAATGTGGATCATTGAAAAGCTGGGAATGACCCCTGGAGGATTTTTTTCTCTAATCAAATGGCAAAGCTCAAATCAAAAGTAGAGCAAGTCACCTCTTTCATACCTTTTCATGTAACTTTATTCCTTTTTCCTGAGCTTCTATATTTTAATTTTCAGATGATGAGAAAAGATGAAAGTGTGCCGGGGACAGGAGAGAGAAATGAGTTTCTCCTAAAGATCTAGAACAGAGATGGGGTAAGTCACAGATTGCAACTCTGCGACTCTTCTTAGCACAGAAGACGTATGAAAAAGAAATTCCCAAGACATGCACTTCAAGAGAATGATGCAGCCAGTAAATATCTATGAGCTTGACTCATCCTCATTACCATTTTTATCACTCTCTTCCTTGGACATGTGGGTGGGAATTAATGGGGAGAGTGAGGTAAGGAGAATGGAGTGGGGAACACAGAAGAGGACATTTTCGCTCTCCCTTTTTCTTCTCCCTCTATCATATTTCCCCCTGTCAGATCCCCTAATTATGAACCTGAGGGTCACTATGTTGAAATGGCAACTCCAGGCTGTGTTCTCTTACCCCTTCTGCTTCCTATTTCTGGGTGGCTCTGTAAGAACAGGAGTGGGGTCTTGGTGTGTTTTGATGGCGTTACCACTCCTCCCCCTACCTGGGACCCAAGGGACACCTGAGTCGCACCCTTTCCACTGTCCCGTGTCCCTTCTTGCCATTATTTTCCCCAGAGAGTTCTGTGCAAAGCAAGGAGTAGCAGCAAATGAGGATCAAGAGCCAAGCCAGCACTTGTTAATTCTTAAAGTTTGGGCACATATTTAAGCATTGATGTCTGTGTGTGATTTTTTCCTCTCCCAGTTGAATTCTCAGGCATACTGGTAGGTTCAGAGATCCAGACTCTAAGAAAAGCACTTAATTCACTTACCCGCTTAGCACCCAATTGAGGAAGAGAGAAGAGATCTTATGTCTACTTGTTACAGCGAGATAGGAAGCAGGGATTGCAAGAGAACTGGGTATGGGTGCGGACATTTCAACATAATGACCCTGCTCACTAAAATCTCTCCAGATAGAGAAATTTGCTGGGTAGTTTTTAATATCTGAAAAGAAGTCACTGTAGATTTTTGACTCCTAGGAGAAATAAACATTTACTGACCATCTATTATGCATGACATTTTACTAAGAAAGTTTCCTCTGAATATCTGTTGGATTTCTTAATTGCAAGGAACAAAAACACAATTATGACCTATTTAAAGCAGAAAGAGATTTATTTTAAAAATATTGGGTCTTTCCTAGATTTGCTAGAATTACCTTGTAGTCAAAATCAATTCTAAAAATAAAATTATCCTATCTTTGGCTGGGGGAAGATTATTGGAGTTAGTTTCTGTATTCTTTGAAATTGCTTGAATAACTTCCTTGTTACTTGGATTGTGAGATTTTTGATAACCAGCTTGTGTATTTCCTTTCTCAGTCCTGGAATCAGATATTGTCTAAGTAGCTCTGGGGCATTTTAATAGGAAATGGCATTTGGAGACAATAATCCAGGCACAGAAATTGCAATTATCAGTGGCACCTGTTATGGTTTGCTCCCTTCCCCCATCCTTATGTGGAAGTTTTAATCCCAATGGAATTGCATTTGGGGATAGAACCTTTTGAGAGTAAGGTTAAATTAGGTCCTAAGAGTCACCTCCTAATCTGACAGTACTGCTGTCCTTATAATAAAGATAAGAGAAGCAGGAGCTGCTTTCTGTCCCCCACACCCTCATATTCACAGAGGGAAAGTCATGCAGAGTCCCAGAAGATGGCAGCCGTCTACGAGGTAAAACCCAACCCTGATGAAACCTTGATCTTGGCCTCCCAGCCTCCAGAATAGAGAGAAAATAACCACTAAATCTGTGACATTTTGTTACGGTAGCCCTAGAAGACTAAGAGAGTACCATAATTATTCATTTGCTTTATCACACAAGCACACATGATACCACTAATAATGTGATTACTGTAAATAGTTTATAGGTTAATGTGTATATATATAAAATTTATTTTTGTCCTTAGGTTATATAAACTAGAGATATACAAATTACTATGTCTTAAAGTCACTCTGTAGATGTGTTTCCATGTGATCAAGCCATTTCTTTCCATGTGATCAAGCCACAATGTAGATGTGTAAGAGCTGTTTCTTTTTACTTTAAGGGGTTGCATTTAAGATTTTTCAATTTGTTTCATAATTATGTAAAATCTTACACGACTCTAAAGTCAAATGTATAAGCTATGCCTTAATTATAGAATTCTATAGAATTCTATAATTCTTTCTTTTTTTAAAGATTTATTTATTTATTTATACAAGAACCGGAGTACAGGCCAGATGCGCGGGAGGGTGAGAGGCTTCACCAGAGCCAGAGTGGAGAGCAGAACAGGCAGATTGACTGAAACACACTGCTGAGGGGAGCAGCGGGCGAGACAGGAGAGGTCTGCCCCACCATGTGGGAATCTCACCGGCCGGCCGGGATCGAACTGGCGCTGCAGAGGCTGCGGACAGCTTCACAGTGCTCCGCTCAACTCCCTGCGCCACCAGGGAAAGCCCTAGAATTCTATAATTCTATCACAACTGCCCATATGCCCAGTTACAACTCTATTTTTCCAAAAGATCTATATAATATGTTTAGGTGGTTTTACAGGAGCTACCGCACAGTGGTAACTTGTGTTTTCTCACTGCTTACTTTAAATTTTTCTTTTGTGCTTTATAATTTACCATAATATGTCCAGGTGCAGATCTATTTTTGTTCTGATGAAGAATTTCTGAAGAATACACGAAACATTTATTCTTATTTTTTTTTTTTATTTTGTATAGAGGCATATTTTATTTATTTGTTTGTTTGTTGTTGTTTATACAAGCACTGGGTACAGTCAGAAGCGCGGGAGGGTGAGAGAATTCACCAGAGCCAGAGCAGGGAGCAGAGCAGGCAGAAGGACCGAAGTACACTGCTGAGGGGAGCAGCGGGCGGCAGGAGAGGTCTGCGCGCCATGTGGGATCCTCCTCTGGTGGCCGGGGAGCAGCCGGGGATCGAACCGGCGCTGCAGAGGCCGCAGGAAGCTTCTCAACCCAGCGCTCAACCGCTGCGCCACCGGGGAGGCCCACGAAACATTTATTCTTAATGTTTGTCTTGAATCTAAGATTTATGTTTTTATCGAGTCTGAAAATATCACAATAATTTTCTCTTCATATATTTCTTCTCTATCATTTTCTTTAATCTTTCCTTTTGGAAGTACAACTAACTGCTCCTTCTCAGTCTATCTTTCCTGAGACTTAGCTTCTTTTTCACATTTCTGTCATGTGGTATTATATACTCCTTAATTTTCTCAGATTTACCTTCCAGTCCACTAATTGCTTCTTCAATTCTGTTTAAATTTGCTATTTCATAAGGGACCAGGAAAAAGACTAATTATAATAAAGTAAAAATCAAAATCAACAAGCAACTATAAACCAGAGACACACTACAGGGGGTGAGGAGGGAGTAAGATCAAAACTAGGGGAGGTGGGAATTGTATGGAGACTATCACCAAAATGAAAATGCATACATTGTACAAAAATGAAAAATCATGTAAAAAATATATAAAATTTAAAAAAAGAATAATTTATAAAAGAAGAAGAGCCCCTAAAAAAAAAAAAAAGTTTCCAAGGACACTATTGGGCCCCAGGCCTTGTTTTGCCAACTCCCACTCATTTCTTTTTATTTGAAAGTTTTATTTCTACAAAGTAAAATGTATGTATCTAAGTTCTTTAAAAAAGCTTTTTCATTGACATAGGATTTATTTATAAGACTGTATATGGCATAGAGGTATAGAGGTACACCTTCAGGTGTATGTTACCACACACCCCCCACCCCCACACCAAGGCCTCCACCTGTAGCCCTCCACAGTCAAACTCCCTCCTCACTTTACTCTCTCCCCTTCCACTCCCCCTCTGGTAGCCCCAATTCTACAACCAGACTTCTAAGGTTTGTGAACAGTTGGTTTCAACTGACCCTTTGTTTTATTTCTCTATACTCCACATATAAGAGAACCCAGTGTTTCTCTTTCTCCTTCTGACATGTTTTGCTTAGCATTATCCCTTCCAGTTCCATCATTATCACAAATGGCAAGAGTTCATATATTTTTTTTTAATAGATGATCAACTCATACTCCTGATGGTGGAAGTGTGTGCTTCAGTCCACTGACGGTGCCTGGAATTTGCTAACCCCAAGCCAGTTGTGCATGAATGTCCTGACTTGGCAATGCCTGCCCCACACAGGCAACGTGCATTTGGGCCGCATGCTCATCATTTAACATTCTGGGGACTCAGCTTAATAGGTTTGTGATTCCAAACACATAAATGAGATTGGTCTTAAGTTTGATATGCCTTTCTTTTTCTGTATGTGAGTGTGTGTGTGTGTGTGTGTGTGAGAGAGAGAGAGAGAGAGAACTAGAGTTATCTTAGTTCTGTTTAAAAATTGGAAGCTGTCTATACTTATTTTTATATTTATGTGTTTTTATTAAATTCTCATTTAGATATTTATGTTTTAAACTTTTCATCCAAAATAACTAAATCTTGGGTTTTAAATCATTCCTGTTTTTCTCTGTCTTTCATTTTGCATTAATTTATTTTGGTTATTTTCATTTTTCCTTTCTATGTTGAAAAGAATTTTTATTCTTATTCTTTTACTTGAATCAATAATTCAATTATTTTAGTTCTTACTTCAATAAGAAATCTTAAAGCTATTAATTTCTGTTGAATTAAATGAATTTTAAATTAACTTTATTTTTTGTTTAAATTTATTTAAATTTTAATCCAAGTGGCAAGTCTCTAAATTTGGTGCACAGTGTAGGTTGTAGCTCAGCTGGAATGTTCTTTTCCCAGATCTTCACACGCTGGAAGAATCACATGGTGGATTCTTCCTGATGCTCAGATCTCAGCTTAAATGCCATCTCTGAGACCCCCACCCACCTTCCTCCCAACCCCAGTCACTTTCCCATTGTTCTGTTTTATTTTTATTAAAACATGCACCATCTCTGATATTTTCTTATTGTGCTTGTTAATTAGCTGTAATCCTCCAAAATACTGGTTGAATGTAAGCATCGTGAGACAAAATTTGTGTCTTTTCCTGCTCTGAGAACAATGTAGGTGATCAGTAAGTATTTACTACATGAATGCATGAAAAATGTTCTCTTTTCCATTATTTTAAAAATAGCCTAGATCTGTAATTTTTATTTCATTTTGTCATAATAACAATTTGGGAGTTTATCTTCCACCTCAAGTGGACTGTTTGTTTAATGTCTAGTTTGATTACTTTGTGATATAAAATGACTCATAATTTTTATGCTTTGAAACTTACTGATTTCATCTTTGTACCTTATTTATGATTACTTTTGTAAATGTTCTGCAGAAGCTTGAAAAGATGGCCTATTTTCTCTTTGTAAGGGAAAAATTTTTTGACTCAGAGATTTTGTTTTTGACAATTTTTGTTCAGTTGTAAAATTTGAAATATGTGTTTAAGTGTTTCCCACATATATTGAATTTCAAGCTTTTTTCCCTTACATTTCTAACATACTTGACTGTCACTGAAAGACTCCAGCTCTTTTTTTGCTTGTGTTTTTCTGAAGAGAGAATCTGGGGGCCTCTGGCTTAAATCTACAGCTAGGAACCCTATTCCTGATGAGTGACCCTGAGAGTTAGCTGAATGTGACAAAGGATTTCATGCACGTTATGTTTCAAATACTTTGATGGTTTCACTTATAGGGGGAATGTAGGGGGGCCAAATAAGGGGCCAGGAAAAAAATAATTATAATAAATTAAAAAACAAAATTAACAGGCGACTATTAATCAGAGACACTATAGCGGAGCGGGAGGGAGAGCAATCAAAACAGGGGAGGGAATGTGTTCTTATACACGGGTGAATTGGTGATGGGAATTTTGCAGGGGCTACACATGAAGGGAGAAAGCATACAAAAAGGAAGAACAATGTACAAAAAGGAAGAACAATGTAAAATCTATTTAAAATAAAATTATTAAAAAAAAAACTTCTGTGGCCTCCCTAGTAGCGCAAGGGGTTAAGCACAGCTTTGTGAAGCGATCAGCAGCCTCTGCAGCATGAATCTGATCCCCAGGCAGCCAGGGAGCTGACCCACATGGCGCAGCAGACCTCTCCTGTCTCCCCACTGCTCCCCTCAGCAGTGTATTTCAGTCAGCCTGTCTGTTCTGTTTCCCACCCTGTCTCTGGTGAATCCTCTCACCCCGCACATCTGGCCTGTACCCCAGTTCTTGTATGTATAAATAAATAAATCTTAAAAAAAAAACTTCTGTACAAGGGAAAAATATGATATATTGGTGACTCCTCCAGGAATGCTGAAATGACAGCTTTCCCAGAGCCAGAATGGCCTATCCATCCACCTGCTTAGAAATACCCTACAGTGTCCAGATAACAGGTTTGTCTCCAGAGTGGCTGCATCTGGGAGTCAGCTGGACTGTGGAAGTGAGTCTCTGTTGACTTGAGATCAACAGATCACAAGATAGATTCCCAGATAGAGCTAAGAAAGCAGGGGGAGGGGAGAGACAGGCATCCTGGGACCCACAAGAAGATGTTTCCCTCGGGCTCCCCTGCTTAGTTTGGTTAGCTGCCTGAGACAGCTCTTCCGCTCCATCTCACCGTGGGGAGCTGGCGTGGGGATGGAAGATGCTAGAGCAAGCTCAGGATGCTCTTGTGACTGCAGTGGGGCCCTAAAAGCCACCATTCTTCATAGCAGGAAATCAAAAACAAAGCTTGGGGTTGACCCTAGGGCATCTGGACACAGCGGCAGGATAAGAAGTGAGATAACATAGCAGCAGAGCCCTGGCTGGAAGACAGGAGACCTGTGTGGGTCCCCGTCACTGTCACTGATGTGCCATAGGTCACTTTTCATAATGTGCAAAAAGGCCTGGGTGGGGCAGAGAACACCTCACTCTCAGGAACCTTCTGCAGGTGAAAAGAATGTGCTAGTTTGTGAAGTGTTAGAAGCTGTTTGGAAGTCAAATGCAGTTAAAAAGAAAAGGCCAAACATTAGGACTGAGCTATAGTGAAGACTGATCTGTACCCAGAGGCCCCTGCCCTGAAGCCTGGCTTCCCAGACACTGGGGTGCTGTTGGTGAGGACCCTCAGCTGCCTCTGCTGCAAAGAGTCCACCCATCCATATTTGCAGGTCTCAGGGCGTCCATGTCTGGTGGCTGATCACAGGGTGTATACGGGTCTTATCACTTTGCCCCAACTCCTGAATATCAGTTTAGGCCCAGAGTTAGGCCTCACTGAGACAGCACAGTCCAGCTGCTTTGAGGCCAAGTCAATATAGATATAACCTAGTACAGGACTACCGAATTTTAAGAAAAGTTTTTGAAAATGTGGATTTGTAAAATTATTGAGAAATGATAACAATAGCTACCATTAACTTAGCACTTACTATGCATGACCTACTGCCTCATGGCCTAATGCAAGAGTGCATTTGGTTCTTAAAATAATCTTCTGAGGTTGATGCTAATATTAGTTTTGCCTTATAGATGTGGCAAACAGCTTAGACAGGCAAATATGCTGGGGTTCCCATGTAAAAAGTAATGGGGTGAGATTTGGAACTCAGTTTTGTGTGCCTATAAAAAACTGGCTAAAGGAACAAATACTACCTCTTGAAACTATGCTTTACACTACTGCCCTCTAATTTTTATCAATAATGGATTCTTTTGGGCCTCCCCTGGTGGCGCAGCGGTTGAGCACTGGGTTGCGAAGCTGCCTGCAGCCTCTGCAGCGCCGGTTCAATCCCTGGCTGCTCCCCGGCCACAGGAGGAGGGTCCCGCATGGCGCACAGACCTCTCCTGCCGCCCGCTGCTCCCCTCAGCAGTGTACTTCTGTCCTTCTGCCTGCTCTGCTCCCCGCTCTGGCTCTGGTGAATCTCTCACCCTCCTGCGCTTCTGACTGTACCCAGTGCTTGTATGTATAAATAAATAAATAAAATATAAATAAATAAATAAATAAATAAATCTTTAAAAAAAAAATAATAATGGATTCTTTTGTGGCACTGAGACAAGAAGTGGATCTACTAAAAAAAGGGGGGGGAAGGATAAGAAGAAATACCTTATCTTTTCTAGAAAAATAAACAGGATCCTCGGCACTGCAAAATATTAAACCTTTCCTCGGTTTATATACTTCCATGTCCATGAAAAGAACTGGAAGGAGAAAAGAAGCATTTCTCAATATTAAAACACATCAAGAATTTATACAGTACTCAGAACTGTAGGATCCACAGAACAACATTTCTTGAAAATATACCTTATCTGTTGCCCAAAAGATAGGGGGCTATTTGTAATTTCAATAACCTCTTTGGTTTATGCAGACAGGGATAAGCAAACTTTTAGTGCATCTCTCTTTTGAAACCTCTCCAAAAGAGAGGTAATTCTATTAAGGCTATTTGCAAAGTTTCAGTGCCTTCTGCCAGAGCCTCTTCCATCCTAACTGTGCCCTCTGTGAGCTCAGCCCTTTGAAGCCTGGCTTTGCTTTATCTGCTGTTGTATTTGACTGGAAAAGCCAATCTCTGACCCTTCAGTAAGTTGGAGCATATTTGCCTACATTCCCATAAAAGTATCAAGAACCCCTATCCCAAGAGCCAGAGTCAGGTGAACATCCCCCACAACCCCTGATCTTTTCCATCCTTGCTGGGATCCTAAGCAACATCCAAGTCACTAGTTGGGCAGCATTCCAGAGAGCTTTGAGCCACATGGAAACCCTATGTCTCCCGGTGGGGCACTGCAGGCTGAATTCCAATGTCAGCCACATCATTGACTTATGCCTGACTGGCTGTGAAAGAACAGACCCAAATTGTCTTGGGTCACAGGCCACATTCTTTGATTTTTTTTCCTCTAGTGTTCATACTCCAAAAATTTGTTTGTTTCAAACTGAGCATAATAAAGTAGAAAGTTGAAATTTTCTGTTATAAAAATAGTATTAGTAATAAAATAGTATTAGTTATTATATATAGTATTAGTTATATATAATAATATACTATATATTATACTATATATTATTATATTATATATATATTATATACTATATTATATTATATACTACAGAATATTATATAATATGATATATTATACTATATAATATTATGCTATATATTATATTATATATTATTATAATATATATTATACTATATAATATTATGATACTATATAATATTGTAATATTATACTATATAATATTATACTATATACCTATATAACTATATAATATTATACTATATACATATATAACTAATACTACTAATATTACTAATACTATATATAACTAAAACTATATATATACTATATATAATACTAATA